GTATGTCTTTCTTAATACTAAAAATAAGACGCACAATTGGCTGTAGTTCAGAAGGAATATCCTTTACATCCATCATGTCTACATCAGCCTGGTCTGGCCCTTGGTGGCGTGTAACCCACTGGGGCCGTGGACCAATCTAAATAAATATTTTAGCCTGAATAAATCCAGAAATAAATTGCTAAACTTACACAATCAATGCTGGTAGAAAATCCATTCCAATCCTGAAATTCAGAAAGAAAATCTTCCAAAACGGAAGCTCGAAGCCCAATAGGATCGGTGATGTAGCTAGTCCAGATATTCTTCCAATATGTCTTGAGACCATCTACACCTATTTTTTGCAGAGCCTTCTTGTTGGAGGTAGCACAGGGATCAATATCAAATATTTGAAGAAGAGCAAAGGTAATTGCCCAAAAGCCACATGATGCACTGTCTTTTTGCAAATCCAGTGCAATTGGAGTATATGTCTTGACAATCTTCCTTTCAGGCTATAGTAATTGATGTTAATAAAATTGTTAATGAGAAAGATAAGTCGTACCATATGATCACCACGTCGTGGATTAAAAAATTGGGCAAAGAAAGCAAGATCACCAATATCAAATCGGCGTCCATGAGATTTGAATGGCTCATAGCAAGAAAGACTATCTTGCAGATCATGATAGGTTTTCTTAAACACCAGCCAGTGGTTGTTGTAGTGGTTGAAAATCAGACAATGTTGAAGATTGATAGACCGACTCATTGTCCAAGAGCGGCCAATCAGAGAGTCCTCCGCAATTATATTCTGGATATTTGACATTCAGTAACATTTAAAAAAATGAATAAAAAGTGTATACATCACCAGAAAGCCCAACAGGGATAGAGTCAGTCAGAGTCCAGTCAAGTTTAGCAAGTTGTTGTGCAGGAAAGGCATATGTATCAGGAATAACCAATGTTGACCCCAAGATTCCAGTATTGATTGAGTTGAGCAAGTCCACAAAAAGAGAGATTTCATCCTGGTGGAGCATATATGTGGAATTGTTCCACCGACTGAAGTCTAGATCACTAAGCTTCTGCTCATCAAGAAGATCTGCCTCCTAATTAAATAGTAAGTTATAAAAAGGTATCTTAGCTTAGCACGTACTTCATTAGCTGTTGGAAGAAATTCTCTGATTCGTAATTTTTTGGGGGAAAAGTTGACTGGCTTGATGGGAGAGTTTGGAAGAGAGGGCAGAAGAGAATTGTGTGGCTTGGGCTTAGGTCCTGTTTTCTGACTGAACTTAACAGGTGTGCGATTTGGATGAAGTGGTGTGACAGCAGGACGTCTGCCTGCTGTTACACCTCGGCCTAAAATTGCATAAGTAAAGCATTGATTTTGAAACAAGTAATAAACACACCTTTTTGAGGAGTTTGAGGATGCTGAGACACCAGAGCTTTATTGGCCTGTTTGGTTTTGATATCAGAAATTGGACTTTCAGCCAAAGACTTAGAATCAGAGTCCTCCTCTTCCTCCTTCAAATGCAAAAAGATCTTCTCCAGATCTCTAGTAACTGTTGCATCAGAAGCAGCTTGATGACGCCGGCCTGTCTTTTCCTTGATAGGATTTCGTGTCTGGCCCTTTGCAGCTGGTCCACGAAGTTTCTGACTAGTTTCAAGCTCTAAAGGATCATAAGTCACATTAATAGAGAAATAAAAAGAATATAGCAGACCAATATAGTCCTTTACTGATCCATGATCAATCTGCAGTCTGACTGCCAAGATGTGATAGCAGGCCTTTCCTGTCTGATCAAATGGAGAACAGGTGCAAGAAAGAGAACCATCTTTCTCTTCAGTTACAGTAGCATAGCACAGAGATGAAGCTTTTGGAGGCATAGCAGGATGTTGTGTGCAGTATAGAAGAAGATGGTGGTAGTAAATGGGAGAGATGTCCTGGCCCATCTAATCTGATCAGCCAATCAATAGGTCTGTTCTAAATATAGTAATTAAAAAACCTGGGTTGGATCAGTAGTTTCATAACCCAAAATCCAGGTTGGATCAGTAGTTTCACAACCCAAAGTCCAGGTTGGATCAGTACTTTCATAATCTAAAGTCCAGGTTGGATCAGTACTTTCATAAATCAAGAATCCAGGTTGGATCAGTACTTTCATAAATCAAGAATCCAGGTTGGATCAGCACTTTCATAACCCAAAGTCCAGGTTGGATCAGTAGTTTCATATACCAAAAATCCAGGTTGGATCAGTAGTTTTATAAACCAAAAATCTGGGTTGGATCAGTACATAAGAAATGCTGAAATTGTAGTTTAATCTGGGGGTTGGATCAGAACTTCTTAAATCCAGGTTAGATCAGGGCAATTATCCCAGGTTGATTCAGTAGTATCAAAATGGTTGAATCAGTAGTTTTAATATCTAAAACCTAGGTTGGATTAGTAGAATTTATACATGCTGGATCAGTACTTTGAAAAGCCGGGTTGATTCAAAGACTGCAGGGGGTAGAAACACATCTTGCAATCCCGATGTCCTACTTAATGGGGGATGTTACTCCTCGTAAAGATGCCCAAAGTCCAAGTTCGTTAGTGTACCATCACCGCAAGTATATTCTTTCCGGCGCCCATCGCCATTCTTCCACAGCACTTTCAGATGCCTGAAGGGTGGTGAATCGAGGAAGCGGACGCTGTCCTCGAGCGCACATTGCATGAGATCCAACTTGTGTACCGTCCCTGCTCGTCTCGACAGGAAATCCATGAGAAGCTTTGCATCGACCCTCAGTCTTGCCGGATTTCCATCGTTGATGAATCTTTCGTCGCCATAGGAGATAATGAGCGAGGTAAGCCTGAGGGTTTGGAGAGAGGGGAAGATGCACTGCGGTGTGGTTAGGCCGTCGAGGAGTTTGACTGTTCGCATGTTCGTCACGAGTGTTTGTACGCCGGAAAGGCGAGAGATGAGGTGTCTTATTTCGGGCGAAGGGATGGCCGGACGTGTCCTCATCATCCTTGTCAGGAGATCGAGCTCCAAGGTGGTGACGCAGCGAAGATCGCAAGCATCGAACACGCCCAGGAGGATGTCGAGAGCATGGATGCGCGATGTGAGCTTCGCGTTGAACGAGAAACTGGGAGTCCGCTCTCTGTGTTCGCTCGGCGCTGCCGCTAGACGTACGACGATGCTGTACTCGGCCAACTCGACTTGAATTGTATCCACGGTTCTAACCTTCGCGAATTCCCCGGCGTATCGCGAGAGGGTGCTCTGGAGGACCATGATGTTGTCGTCGAGGCTTTCGGTGATATGGATGTTAATGGAACATTCGGGGTGAGGAGTAATAGCCTTGAGAAGAGCGAAACACTCGTAGTCGTTGGTGATTCTTACTTTGCGCAGACGAGGAAGGTAGATAGTGGGTAACGAATTTGACGGGGGTGGGCGGGCCGGGAGAAAAGCGTCACAAATATTCAGCGACTCGAGTTTAGTCATCTGCGATAGCACTGCGGCGAAGTCGACGAGGGTGTAGGGGACCTGGGGCTGGTCGCTGAAGGATATGGAGAGCGACTGGAGTGTTGATAGGATCGCTGCCTGGTGAGGGAGATAGAGAGCGTTGGTGTCGAGGTGCAGTAGGGATGGTATGTAGGTGTTGAACGTAATGGGTGGGTGGCCTCCTTCGTCTCCGTCTTTCTGAAAGATGAATCGGAGGGACTGAAGGTTGCGAGGCGGGGTAGTGGCAAAAAGTGCGTAAAGTTCGTCGAGAATGTCGGCATCACGGATTGTGAGGTCGAGTCGCCGCATCCGCTGCCAGTGGTCTCCATTATAGTGCTCTGGCTCGGTCCATGTTCGAAGGAAGAGGACAAGGGGATCTTCATGGGAAATGTCACCCTTCACATAGAGGTCTTTCGCACCTCTTGTTCTCTTCATCACCAACCTCCTGAAATCACCTTTCCTTTGCGCCATGCAATCGAGATCGACGACACGACCCCAGATGGACGGTCCATGGAGAAGGGTCCGCCACCGCTTGCAAACCGACGACGCTCGAAAGAGGGTGATTAAAGCGCGACGCCCCAATCCCCGATTCTCCCCCCATGTCTCGTCGTCCGTATTCACAACGAATTTGAATATATAGTCTAGAAGCTCGTTGGGAAGTTTGTCAACGGCGACCTCTTGATATCCAGTCGTCGTCGACGATGGTGCAGGCGATGCTACCCGGGGGATGGTGCGAAGTTTTTTCCTAGGTGGCGGAGACATGGTTGGGGAATGGAGAGGGAACGGAGACCTCGCGGCCGACATAAGAATAACAGAAGACGGAGCGCGAGGTCGGCGCGAGGTATTCATGGGAGGTTCCGACACCTGTACGATTAGCTTTTGATAACATATGTTGAACTTACTGTGTGATGTTGAGAAACGACGAAGAGCCGCGTGTTGGTGGCTTCGAAGGTCAGTTCATTCGTACATAAGTCTGGGCGTCGACTGAAGGCTAGTACGCATGAGTAGGCACCCAAAGGCAGGGCGTTTCAAGGGTGCTGATACCAATGGCCTCGGCGCTAAACGAGGAGGCGCTGGTGAAGATATGAGTGATAATACGAATGCGGATATTGTTCCATGACGAACGCTGAAGCCTCGGGGAGAACCGCGATGAAATTAACACGATTACATAAATACCTGACACTCACATTGCAAGACCACGGCGAACGCTCACAGTGAGGTCTGTGGTACACCAAACGAGGCTGCCGCCTGCAACTCCTCTCGGAGCCGTCCAAACGCCAAACAACGAGGCGGCAGAAATGTAAGGGACCTAAGGAAGCAAGACATTCTGTGCGGTGAAAAGAGAACGGGTGTATGGCGAGGGGGAGGTGGCGTGTTTCACACACAGATGGGTTATCTTGCAACATGTTGAGGCCAAGAAAGAGGTGAGTAAGGCATCTCATCAGCGAACCCTGTCTTGTGCTGAGAAGACAGCGTACGAAGTCGTAAGTGCCGTTGGGAGCCTTCAGGCATCCAGCCCAGGATCAGCCGCGAGGTGGCTGGGAACCTCGTGCCGTGGGGGGCAGACCCAGTGTCCGGCCAACATAGAAGAAGGATTAAGTTCAGTTACGCCACAGACGTTACAAGGTCAGCACCCCAGGCTCTATCTTTAGCTGATCACCGGAGAGCCTAGAACGTTCTCGGGGTCAAAAGAAACAAGAAACATCGCCCTCGATATGTTTGGTGAACCCCCGTTGTTTAATATCCGAGCAAGAGTTGAGTCCTCCGGGCGTCGTGGTTCCTAGGCGATATGAAGACGAAGGGCAGGCCGACGGGAAGGAAGGCAAAAAACGAGCGGGGTTGCCGCAAAGGGTAATGTGGACAATTCACGAGCCGCGCCAGGTTAGACCCATCTAGTGTAAGTGCATCGCAGCGTGGGAGGCAGTAATGGTCGCTGTGGTGCCCGCCATTGTATTGCGACGTCTGCGCAGGCACTGAGAATGGGATTGAGCAACAGAACGATCCTCATAGGGTGGAATGGTACGTGCGTGAGATGAAGGTACGTATCGCGGGATCGTCACAAGAGGCCGAACTTAAAATCGACGCCTCATTGGCTGCTGTTCTAGTGTCGCCTCATTGGCCGCTGTTCTAGTGTCGATGATTGCGTTCTGCCAATGGGACGACGCTTGCGTGATTCGCGGGTACAAAGTGAAGAGTTGGTCAATGTATCAGCTTCGAAACCCCAGGAAAGATTCGCTAAGTTGATTTAGAATATACCTTGTAGGTCAGAGGAAGAAGGATGATGCCACAGCGTTCCTAGGACGGCACCCCTCATGGGAACTTCTCCACCTCTAGCTGATCGTCGACGCCTGAGACGGGACCGATGCCTACATAAGCGGGAGATCGGAAACAGCGCGAAGGGGTGCCGGGAGGTCATTGATCATATATGAGGTCTGAAATCTCGTCGGAAGAGGGAAGAGAAGGGGAAATACCTCTATCCATATTATCCATCGAGCTCAACATCATGTGGTCAGAAGCGA